AATACCACACCATTCACCATTTTCAACACCCCAATCACCATCTTCATCATGATATTGAATCGTAGTGTTTTCTGGTGAACAACAGGCATAGCCAATTAAAGAGGCTTTACAATTAGTATTAACTTTTATATTTTCTTCATCATCAGGATATCTTTCATCATCAAGATATCTCTCATCATCAGGGTATCTTTCATCATCAGGATATCTTCTATCATCTGGAGTATATTGAGTTTGCATATTACAACCGACAATATATTGAAGTGCTTTTACTTCATCAACAAGTTCTGGACATAAATAAGCACCTAATAATATCTTACTTGATGATTTGGCAAAAGGATAAACTGTGCCATATTTACCATAATCTTCTAATAATCTACCAGATGCTATTTCTTTCTCATAAGAGGATTGCATTTCATCAATCTTTGCAGGATCCTTATAAACATCCTTATTAGCTATAATGATATTATGAATGTTTTCAATAACACCATCCATTAATTCTTTATATTCAGGACTCTTGGGGTCATTGATTTCAGCTGGAAGTTCAACAGCAACTATATATATTGCTGCATTGTCATTTGAAACTGCTTTTGTATAACCAACATTAATAAGAAATGTTAAAGCAATACTTAATAAAACAAATAAATTAAAACTCTTCATTTTTATTTTTTGTTTTTATTTTTAATTTCCAAAATTTATAATTAAAGTTTATTTATTATCTAGTATTTTATAATAATATTTTATAATAAAAATTATATTAAATAATTAGTAAATACTAAAAAAAAAAAATATATGTTTATTATAATTAGAATAGTACTATTTTTTATGTAATATAATAATTACTTTCAATTATCAAATATAATAATTACTTTTAATTATATTATTTATATATTGTATATAAAATTACAAATTTTATATAGGTTATATTATTATTATTATTAAATGTGAAATTTTCGTAATATTTTTTTTTTCTTCTTAAAATTAATTATATAAATCAATTATATAATTATTATTAAAAACTAAAAATATTAGTTTCTTTAAAAAAAAAAATTTAAATATTAAATAACCATAGAAAATTTTTTTAGTATTTATACTAATTTTTATTGTTTATATATATTATTATAAAATAAATAAATAAATATATTTTGTTTAAATAAATATATATAAAATTTTTATTATTTTAATACTATTATATATATGATTTACTTTTTTCTATTTAATTTATTATTGATTACAAATATATTAAATACAAATTAAAATTTTAATAAATAATAAAATTAAAATTCATCTTTTTTTTTTTATTTTTTTTTAATTTTATTATTATTATTATTATTATTATTTTTTACAAAAGAACAATTAATATCATCAGCAGATTTTGATTTGATTTAATTTAATTTGTTTTTGTTTTTGTTTTTTTCAAGTATAATTCAATATATAATTTTTATTATTCCCTTTTTTTTTTTGTACTATTATTTTTTTTTGTACTATTATTTTTTTTTGTACTATTATTTTTTTTTGTACTATTATTTTTTTTTGTACTATTATTTTTTTTTGTACTATTATTTTTTTTTGTACTATTATTTTTTCTTTTGACTATTAAATTTTTTTTTTTTCGAATTTTATTTTATTCTGTTTCATTTATAATAATAATCAACATCAATGATAAGATTATGAGATATCAAAAAAACAAACAAAAAAAAAAAAAAAAAAAAAAAAAAAATTAAAGGTCTTTTCGTTCGTTCTTCTCAATGTTTTCAAGTCTATAAATATAAATAGATATATGCATATATATTATATATATTTGACTTTATTATATATTTGATTTTATTATATTTTTAACTTTAATTATATTTTTTTTTCTTCATTATTATTTAATATTAAAAAATAGAATTAATAAAAAGAAAAAAAATATTTTTAAATAAAAAAGTTTCAATAGACATAAAATATTGAAGATGTTTACTTTTTTTATTAAATAAATAGTTAAATGGATAGTTAAATAGATAAATATAAAACATATAATTATGTCAATAAATAAATAATTATAGGGTTAAAATTAAGTAAAATAAAATAAAATAAAATATACCAAGTAGTATAAAAAGAGCATTAGTATTAAATAAAAAAAAATAAAATAAAATATGTCAAGTAGTACATAAAGAGCATTAGTATTAAAAAAAAATAAAAATTATTTTTTTATTATTTTTTTTATTATTATTTTATTATTTTTTTATTATTTTTTTCCTTTTCTTTTCTGTATAATTAATTATTTATTTAACATAATTTTTTATTTTTATTTATTTTATTTATTTTAAATTTTATTTATTTTAATTTTTATTCGTTGATGGATTGATTAAAAAACTTTTTTTTAAATAAAAAATATTTAAAAATACAGAAATTTTAAATTAAATTTTATTTTGAAAAGTAAAAAAAAAAATAATTAAATTATAAATTATAAATTAATTATAAATTAAATTAACTTCATTATTTTTTTTTTATAATTTTTAATTTTTTTTTTATTTTTTAATTTTTCTGTATAAAAGTAAATAAAATAAATTTTTGTTTGTTCTGAAAACTTTTTTTTGTATTTCTAAATAATTAAAAATTATATATATATATTTTTTTAATTTCAATATTTTATTTTTTAAAAAATTGTTTTTATTTTATTTTTGTTTTGTTTTATTTCTATTTTTTTTTTTTTTTTTTTTTTGTTTTATTTTTGTTTTGTTTTGTTTTATTTAATGTAATTATTTTTAAATAAAAATTAAAAATTGTTCAAAAATAGACAAAATATTTTAAATTTATTTTTTTTTATTAATAACTAAATCCTATTAAATACTTTGAATTAATTAATTATAAATAAATAATTTATTTTTTTAATATCTATTATTTAATATTATATTGATTTTATAATTAAGAAAAAATGTTATTATTAGAGTTATAAATTTAACGTTTTTTTTGTATTACAATTATTAACATTATAATAATTTTTTTATCTTATTCTTTCTTAAAAAAAAAAAAAACGTTAAATTTATAAGATAAAAAAATTATTATAATGTTAATAATTGTAATACTTTATAACTTTAGTTATATAATACTGTAATATTAAAAAGTCATAAATATTATTAAAACTTTTCAGTAAAATAATATATATATATAGTTATATAAGATAATAATATTATGATTTACATTATTACAATTCTTTTACTTTGTTATTTCTGTATTATTTCTGTATTTTTTCATTTCATTTCATTTTATTTTATCAACATTAAAATAAAAGATAAAAAATATACATATAAAGAAATAATAATATTGTATATAATAATTTATTTTAATTATTGAGATTAACTTCTATTATTTTTATTATGTTATAGATCCCACATTTTAATTTAACTTTATATATATTTATTATATTTTAAATTTTTTTAAAAAAAAAAGAAAAAAAGAAAAAAAAATTAAATAAAAATAATAATAAAAAGTTTAAAGATTAAAAAAAATAAAATTTTTTTTTTGAAAATTAAAAAAAAAAAAAAATTAAAAAAAAAAAAAGCCAAAATTTTAATTTATAGTTTTATTAATTTTTGGTCATGATTGGGGTTCTTCTAATTTTTCTATTTTTCTATTTTAATTCTTCTCAAAAATTTTTTTTATATTATTTACTATTCAATTATTCAGTTATTCAGTTATTTATTATTTATTATTTATTAATAAATACACTTTAATATTATTTATATTTATTTATTTATTATTCAATTATTTAATATTTAATATTTAATATTTAATATTTATTATTTACTTTGTATTCTTTTATTCTTTTAAAGTTATTTGTTGAATAAGTTTAAAACTATTTATTATTTTTAATAAAAATATATTATAATTTATTGCAATATAAGGTCAACTTAATTAAATTTATATATATAAACTTTATTTATTAATTTTATATATTTATATTAAAGTTTATTTCATATCAATTTTTGAATAAAAATAGAAAAAATTAATCCCATAATATGTTTTATTAATTCCACGTGATATACAAAAGGAATTTATTTATCTTAGGTTAAATCATTTATTTATTTAAATATTATAATTTATTTATTATTTATTATTTAATTATTTATTATTTATTAATAAATACTTTTTTTATTATTTATTATTATTTAATTATTTATTTATTATTCAATTATTTATTATTTATTATTATTATTTATTATTTAATTATTTATTATTTAATTATTATTTAATTATTTATTATTTATTATTTATTAATAAATACTCTTTTTATTCTTATTATTATTATTTATTATTTTTTTGTTAATTAATGATAGTCACGTCACTTTATTTTTTTTACCCTATTTTTTGTCTTTTTGTCATCACTTTATTTTTATTTTTTATTTTTTAATTTAAACATTTAAATATGTATCAAGAATGCACATTTAAATACTTAAAAAGCATTATTATAAAATTTAATTTAATATATAATATTTAAAAATAATAATAAAAAAAAGAATATAATGAAAAAAATAAAATTAAAAATTAAAAAAAAAAAAATTTTTTTTAATTATTCTCTTTTTATAATTATTTTCAATATTTAAAATTATTTCTATCTATTTTTATATTTATTTTCTAAAATGGAAATTAATGATGATATAAATTTAATTAAAATGAGAATTAAATTTATCTTTTTTTTTTTTTTTTTTTTTTTTTCTTTTTAATGTCATCTTTATCAAGGATTACGTTAATATTCAAGAGTTCCATTCTGAATAAAATACCTATATATTTGTATAAACTATTAATGATATTATATTGAAATGAACTAATCTATTTTATTTTTTATATATTATTAAAGAAAAAGAATAATTTAAAAATAGTAAAAAAAAAAAAAAAAATACTAATAAAAATAATAATATTACTATTAATAATAATAAAAAAAATTTTTTTTTTTTGTTAATAACACTTTTTTTTATATAAATATAAAGAATAAAAATAAATTTCTATTTTAGAAAAAAAGAAGGTCCTACCGAGGTTCGAACTCGGGTTATTAGATTCAGAGTCTAATGTGCTACCACTACACTATAGAACCTTTTGTTAAGGAGCTGTGTAATAATTTCTATAAATTATAGAGATTATTATTTATAATTAATATTAACTAAACTATTAAGATTAAATAAAAATTAAAATAAAAATTAAAATAAAAATAAGAATTTAATACTTATCTTTAAAATTAGAGCTTATTATAAGAAAATATAATAGACCTTAAATGAAAGAGAAATAAAATATGTTTTTATAAAAAGAACTTTATTAATCTATTTTATTATTAAATATTTTATTATTTTTTTTGACAAATTTTAAAATAACTATTTTATATTAATTGAAATATTAATGTCTTTTATTGTTATTATATTTTTCTTAAAATAATAACTCTTGATTTTCTAAAGACGAAAATCAACAGCTATTTATATTTTTACAAAAATAAATGTATTTTTCTAATCTTAACAATGATTCTTTCCAGAAAAAGATTAGAAGAAAAAACTGGAAAGATTTTTGATCAATAATCTATACTTATTGATCATCGTGTTATTAAATAAAACCAATTATAATTAATCGGAAAAACTTTAATAACCGATTTTAATAACTAAAAGAATTAAAAAGAAAAAGGATAAAAAAGAGAAGGATAAAATAATGCAGAAATTTTATTAAATACATTTTTTCTATGAAATAATACAGAAGTTATATTAAATACATTTTTTCATATAACAATTAATACATTAATTGGTATAATTGTTTTTAAATGAAATAAATTTTTTTAAAGAATAATAATTATGAAATAATTATTAATTAATAAGAAATAGAAATAAATTATAAAAATTTATATCAATTTCTTACAAGCTGATACGGAACAATCTAATATTGCTTATATTATTGAATTTATTATTTTATATTTGTTTTTATTTTTTTTTATATTATTTTTATTTTATATCTTTATTTTTATTTTAAATTTTTATTTGTATTTTTACTTTTACTTTATTTTTATTTTAATTTTTATTATATTATTTTTATCTTATAATTTATTTTTATTTTATATTTTTATTTTTATTTTTACTTTTACTTTTATTTTTACTTTAATTTTTATTATTTTTATATATTATTTTATTATTTTTTATACATTATTTTATTTTAATTAATTAAAAATTTATTTGAACCAATTAAAAAACTTCATTAAATTCTATAAATAACTTGTAAAATCAAAAAAATATTAAAAAACTCTCTCTCAAAATTTTATAAATTAAATTTTAGAATAAAATAAGGTAAAATAAATTAAGGGTGTTTTAATTTAGTGTTAAGCTGTGTTGTTAATATAATAGTTTTAAGTTTAAATAATAATTAAGTTAATTAAGGGGTTTAAAATAAAATAAAAGAGAGCTTAGTTAATATTTAAAAACATTAGAATATTAATGTTGAGTTTAATTAGTTTAGATAATATTCGGAAATAATTAAATAAGTTTAATTAGAATTAATTAGAATATATTATTATTGAAAATAAATAAATGAAAAGTCCTGTACCATAAAAATTTTGGCGAGCTATGCAGGACAAGACAATAATAATATGAAAATAATTAATTCAATAATTTAGAATAGACTAATTTAAAAAAAAAAAAAAAAAAAAAAAAAAAAAAAAATTAGTATAAATTAATAATAACAATAATATAAGAAATTTTATAAATTGAAAGAATAAAATATAGTTAAAGTAATAAATAATTGAATAATAATTAATTTAGTGTGTAGAATTTTAATAAATATATTTATATATAATAGTGATAGTAGTAATAGTGAGTTATAAAAATAATAATAATAATAATAATAATAATAATAATAATAAAAAAAAAAAAAAAAAAAAAAAAAAAAAAAAAAAAAAAAAAAAGAGTGATCCATCCATCAACCTTTGGATTGAAATATTGTTATTGTTGTTCAACTGGTAATAGAAGTTTTCCTTCTTTTGTTATTTAAACAACAGTAATTTTAATTTCAGCATTATACAAGCTGCTAATTTCGGTCAGCGTGGGGGATTAGGGCTGTGTAAAGATCTTCGAGTCGTTTGCAAGTGCGAGGAGAAGTGACGGAATGAACACAGGGGACGAAACGTCACAGAAATTAGCGTATAATAATAAGATTACTGGTCGGGTTTTTATAACAAAATAACAGTTTAATTAGTTATATAAAATATTAAAATATTAACAATAGAAAGTAAGAGAATGAAGATTTTAGAAATCCAAAAATTATTACCAAGAGTAACTGAATCAACAGGAGAATTGGACTCTTGGTTTGAAGAGTTTAATAGGTTGATGGCTCTAGCAGATATAGAATCTCCTAAGAGTATATTCATTTGGGCATTAGAATGTGTAAATGGAAGGCTAAGAGGTGTAGTACAAGAACTAGAAAAGGAAACTGAAGATGGTAAGATTTATCCATCCATAAAAGAGATAAAAGAAGCTTTGGAGGAAGCACTTAGGATCACACCACAAGAAAAATGTAAAATGCTACAAAAATTGAAGATTAAAAGGGGTGAAACAATAGCCGACTTCAACTGGAGATATAAGAAACTCTACGATAGCTTACCAAAATTTTACCAAACATTTGTTACTGTAGATGATTATATTGAATCAATTAAGTATAGACCTTACATTAGATCTCAAGTAATTACCCAACGATCGGAAGATTTAGAAGACGCGTTTGAAGAAGCTGAATTGGCCGAGAGAGCGGAACAAATAAAGACGTCAAATAAAGTTACGGTAATGACAACACTATTTCATGGCCAGTCCAATAATCAATCTGAAAGATATCAACATGAATACAATAATAATAGAAGGAGTAATAATTACTTTAATACTAGAAGGAATAATTATAATAATAACTATAATTATAATCAGAAGCAGAATCAAAGACGCACACTTCAAAATAATAATTATTTTAACCAAAGAAATGTAAATAATACTGAATTTGAAAATAAATCTCAAAATGAAACAAATCGCAATGAAAATATAGTTTGCTTCCGATGTGGAAAAATAGGTCACATCTTTAGAAGGTGTCCTTATACATTTAAGCAGTTAGCTGAAATAGAAGAGAGAGAAAATAAAGAAAAAGAAAATAATCATTTAAACTAATAAATGGGAGAAGGGAAACTCCCGTATATCAAACCACAACCTATCAGAACCCTACAGAGTCAAAAGAACCAATTTTAGCTGCGGTTATAAGAAGAAATAAAAATAATTCTGGTTCAAAACCTTATGAAAATAGAACTATAAGAACATTAAAAGAAAACCCAGTTAGTATACCAATCCCTAAAGGCCTTCAGTATGCTCAAGATAACATGGAAACTGAAAATAACAAAAATTCCAACACAGAAAAACTTGAAGAAGTAGATGTTTCAATAATTGCACAACCATCAATAAATAAAGCGAAAAGCATGTCAAAAATAGAAAGAACTAAAGAAATACAGACCGAAGCAGAAAAGAATAACAGCAATATCAATAAACCAAATAAGAATCAAAGTACATTACCAAGTGATACAATAAAAGAAAAAAGGAATAAGCAACTAGGTAATAACAATACTAAACATGTGTCTATGATGGAAGGAAGGAAAAGGTACAACATTACAGACGACCTAAACAAGCTAATGGCAAATATCTCAATATCCCAATTGATTGATGCGAGTCCTAAGCTAAGATCGGAACTCTCTAAGGCATTAAAATTGAAAGCCCCTGAGATGACTGAAGAAAACCCAGAAAAGGTGATGATGTCCGCATTAAGCAGAGAAGACGTTGCGACCGCAGAATGTATCGTAGAAAACACACCAGGAGTAGCGTTTCTAGATACTTGTGCTAGCATTAACTTAATTACAAGGAAATACTTTAACAAATTAAAGAATATAACTCCATCTGGATACACTGATGATAACATTATTCAAGTTTTCTCCAATAAGAATATCGTTATGGAAACTTGTTATTTGAGACTAAAATTTGGAAATATAGAAATACAAGATAGCTTTAGGATAATTGATCATGATAAAAATATCTTTGACGTACTAATCGGATATAGAACACTTAAAGAAAATCACCTTTTCATAAACCCAGTTGACAATTTCCTTTGTAGAATGAACAGAGATGAGACTTGGGAGAGAATAATACCTTTACACAAAAAGGATAAATGTATAAGCACTGAAGAATTGCCTACCAAACAAACAAATGAAGAAGAAGACAGATTGTTGTTACTTTGTTTTACAAAAAAGGTAAAAGAAAAAGAGGATATTGACGAGAAAAAGGAAATAATTGATAAGTTAATATTGGAAATTCCGTGGAAATATAAAAAACAAGTTAAAAAATTATTTAATAAATATTATCATATTTTAGCTACCAAAATTGAGGAATTACAGTCAACTAAATTATTACCACATACCATTCAATTGAAAGATGGTGCTAAACCAATCAAACAAAAATGCTATCGCTTATCAAAGGTACAAGCTGATGCACTTAAGGAAGAAATCACCAAGTTAATTAATAATAAACTAATAGAACCATCCAATTCACCATGGTCTTTCCCTGTAATACTAGTTCTTAAAAAAAATAATAAATGGCGAATGTGCATAGACTTTCGAAAATTGAATGATTTAACTATAAAAGATGCATACTCATTACCCTTAATAGATGAAATCCTTTTCTCCATAGGGAAGAAAGTCAAATATTTTACAACCATAGACTTGTTTTCAGGATTCCATCAAATTCCAATGTCAAAGAATGATATTCCTAAAACCAGTTTCACTACTATCTTTGGAAACTATCAATTTCGCGTCATGCCTTTCGGTCTCTGTAATGCACCAGCAACCTTCCAGAGGGAAATGAACAGGATCTTTTTCCCACTAATTGGAGTATGTATGTTCATCTACATCGACGACTTAGTTATTTTTTCCAATTCATTAGAAGAACATATTAAAGATATTATTAAAGTTTTTGAAATTATATCCGTAAATCGGTTAAAAGTAAATCTAGAAAAATGCAATTTCTTTAAGAAAAAGGTAGAGCTTCTGGG